TGACTGGAATCGAACCCGGACTTTTCAGTCCACAGACTGACGCTCTACCACTGAGCCAAACTGGTTTCAGCTTAGACTCTCTTTTGAGAGGCTCCCATAGTGGAAAAAACATCAGTGTATACTTCACCTGCCACAAGATATTCAGTTCGAATTCAGAGGAAAGCAAAAGTAAGTTTTAAGTATCCACTTTCATTGGTTGTTGGTTAAATGACCAGCCATCATTACCAAAAAGATAAATCATGAGAAAAGACATGAAATAATAAGACAAATAATAATACATTAATTAATTAATTAATTTATAAGAATAAACTGTGTTTCATGTACTCACAACTGTAAGTCTACTTTTGCCCACCCTGTATTGCTGAGCATAGGTCTTCTCCCATCAGTTTCAGCACATGCCTGATCTCTACCTATTGTCCTGCTTGATTCTTTCCTTTAGGACTGTCTTCCCTGTACCTTTTCAACATTTTTCAAATACCTTTTGTTTCTGAGGCATTTTTCCTTATAACAAAAGCCATACCTGCTTCCTTACATATAATGTCTATGTGATCTTATTAATCATCAAGTAAGGCCTGAAATAATACCAACAGCAATAACAATATGGCTAACAGTTTACTGAGTGCCTGCTATGCACCAAGCACTGTTTTAAGCATTTTATAAGTATTAATTTACTTAATCGTCACAAAAATCCCATTAAATTATTACCCTCATTTTATAGATACAGAAACTGAAGCACAGAAAGATTATGTAATTTGCTCAAAGTCAGGCAGCCAATAAGTGGCAGAATTCCTTTGGTCCTCCACTCTATCTGCCCATAATTCTGTTCACCTACCAGTTTTCCACAATATAACACGGTGTGTGTTTTTTTTTGTTTGTTTGTTTGTTTGTGTGTGTGTGTGTGTTTTGTTTGTTTTTTGTTTGGCCTAGTCTCCTCAAAATGTTTGAAAATTGGGTTCTGTTTAAAATAAATAAATAAAATAGCCCTAGCTGGTTTGGCTCAGTGGATAGAGCATCAACCTGTGGTCCGGGTTCAATTCCGGTCAAGGGCTTGTACTTCAGCATGTACCTTGGTTGCAGGCTCTCCCTCCTCCCCCCCCAGCCCTGTTGGCTATGTGCGGGAGGCAGCCAGTGTCTCTCTCACATCAATGTTTCTCTCTGTGTGTCTCTCCCCTTCCCTTCCACTCTCTATAAAAATCAATGGAAAAATATCTTCGGGTAAGGTTTAACAAAAATAAGTAAGCAAAAATGAAGATTTACAGCTATCACAGCCCATCTTATATCATGAATATAATTAATTTATTTTAATAGTGCTATCTATTATTCTATAGGGACTGGTATTAAAGTTCAATTCTATAATTCTTTAAAGATAACCTCTATTATGAGTAACATTGGACTGTATGCTTACCAGGTTTTCCCACATATACATTAAATTTAAGTCCTTAGTTCCACGTTAATTTTCACTGCCTGATAAAATATTATCCGAGCATGTATTAAAGAATGAATTTTTGCAGCTTAGTGAGATAAGCCATTCATACTCTAACAAGGATATTTTAAACCGAACTGGTTATTCTTCAGGAAAACCATATTCAGATCAAACTAATTTCCTAATGACATAAAAATGTGAGCAGCGTTGAGGTGTCTTATGTAACTGAGTGCTGACCACTTGGGACTAGATGATGGAATGACAGAGAAAGGGAAGCTGAATCTTTAAAATAGTAAAAATTATCATTTAAAAATCACAGTAAATATCACCTGCCAGGTATTAAAATGATTAAAGGGCTTATTTTTTCCACACTCCTATTGTGATAGGTTTTACAAACAAATAATTTTAAGTACAGTAACCTGTTAAGCACCAGTAATTAGTTGAGAAAAACAAACACAAATGTTCTTGAAGAGAGAGCAGACCCTAAGGGAATTTAGTCCTCTGAAATTATGCAAAGTGTATACTGAAATCATTCTGAGAGATTCCTACCCCAAAGAAAAATCCCCTTTGTTTTCTCTCACACATAAATTCTATGACAGCTAATTGACAGGAATATTTGCTAACACAGGTGGACCTGCGATGGGTAAAACCATCTGGAATATTTTGGGTTTTCACTAGAAAAAATAAGAGTCTATGATACTTGTGAATAGAGAAGATACTGGATTGGCAGGCAGTTAACTAGATAGTTAAGGGATTTGATTTTGTCATCTCAGCTTTTTGAACTTTAGTTTCCTACTCTAACCAATACAGAATGATCTCCAAGGCCTGTTCTAACAACTCCTAAGTTCCACAATTTTAAGTTAATATGGCTTTGAACACTTTTGCATAAAGAAAATTCTAACATTTAATCTCATAAGATACAATAAGAATATGTAGAAACCAGTTATATGAAGTTAGGATAATCTATATATAAAAGCCTAATATGCAAATTGTCCCCTTAGGAATTAGACCAGGAGACCAGGGGTTTGATCACTATGATATGCACTGACCAGCTGGGGGCAATGCGGAATGAAAGAAGGCCCCAGCCAGCAGCCAGTAGCCGGGGAAGGAAGGTCCTGGCTGACAGCCCTCCTTTTCAAATATTTTTTTTAAAAAAGGAAACTTAGATTTAAGTGGCCTCCATCTTCAGGACCAAAGAGAAATCATCTGTAAAATTACAGAATTTTAAAAAATATATATTTTATTGATTTTGTACAGAGAGGAAGGGAGATAGTTAGAAACATCTATGAGAGTCATCAATCAGCTGCCTCTTGCACACCCCCTACTGGGGATATGCCCGCAACCAAGGTACATGCCCCTGATCGGAATCGAACCTAGGACCCTTCAGCTCCCAAGCCAAAGCTCTATCCATTGAGCCAAACCGGTTTCGGCCAGAATTTTTTTTTTTTTTTTAATTAGAAACAGGATTATATACTCAAAAAAATCAGTCCTTATTAAAGGTGGAGGCCCCCTAATATCCCTAGGTCAAATAATTTGCCTAGCGTCACATATCAAATCAGGGATTCAGACACCCTCCCCAATACTGATTCACACTTCCTTGCCCTTCTCCTCCCTCCCAAAATACACTTTCTCCCTCTCCGCCTTACATTATCTTACTTTGTAACCGCTTAATTATCTCATAGACAACAACTGATCAAATTCACATAAGAGGGACATCACCCAAAGATCTGAAAACCAGAGCAGGTGAACTGCCCGTTTTACCACATCCATAAATAAATGATAAACAAAAGAGAGAACAGATCATTGAGAAAGAGTACTTGTGTCAGTCATCACAACAACTAGGGAATAAAAATGCGTTTTCTTTGGGGGAAAAGATCATACTGATGGGACCAGATACAGATACAAAGTATAATTCCTCGTGGCTTTTTTAAAAAAAATTTCCTTTGAGTTTGGGGGCTCAAAAGATTTTTTTTAAAACCACATCAACACATAACCTACACACCTTTTCTCCCCTAGTCCCCCGGAACATTACCTAGACCACGTTTCCAAAAAGTAAACTGACCCAAGGTCTAACTGCCTGTTCATCAAAACCTTTTCAAGACACAGACGACTCCTGTTAAGACTGATTAGGAACCATCTCCCAAACTTCGGTCTCCATGCTCAAACTGGATCTCCGAGGTTTGTAACCAGTCTCGGCTCGGCTAAAGGGCACAGACTCTCTAGCGCTCCCTATAGCTCAGACTTTGAACCTACCTACCATGGAAAACCCAAGTTACCCAAGATCTGCTCCTTCGCTCCACTTTTTATCTCCCCCCTACCCCCGACTTAAAAAAATCGGGTGAAGGTGGGGAGCAGGGGGGGAGGGGGGAGAGGAAAAGAAAGCAGAAACGCCGAACCCAAGGATTAATCACTTCTCCCCATTACATCAGCAGCCCCCGCCCTTTCCTCCGAGAACCTCCTCTCCTAGAATCATCGCTATGCACTAGCGCTCCCTTCGTCCACCCCCTGCTCTATTATATGCCCCATACCTCCCCATTATCACCCGCCCCACCACACTCCCTCCCCCAAGGAGGGGGGTGGGGGGGAAGAGGAGGAAACCCGAGAGAGGAAGCCGGGCGTTGAAGGAAGGGACTTGGCGATAAGAGCGGCCTCCCCATTGGCCCGGGGGTTGTGTGGGCGCATCCCATTGGCTCCCTTGGCCGGAATCCCCGCCCCTCTCCTCCCCGCCCACCCGCCCCTCCCCCCGCCGGCCCGTGGCCCTCCCCCGCGGTCCTGGCCAGCCCCGCGACGGGGAGGGACCGACTGGGCGAGTGGAGGCTCCGGCGGTGTCAATGGCTCCTCCTGCCACGGAGCAGCAGCAGAAGCCGCGGCGACGGGGCTGAGGAGGAGGAGGAGGAAGGTTCCTTTAAGGAGGAGGAACGACGCCGCCTCTTTTTTCCCCCTATCTCCTCCTTTCATACTCATTTCCCTTCGCTGAGGAGAGAAGGGGGGGAGGAGAGAGAAGAGGCCGAAGAAAGAGAAAAATTCCTCTCAGAAATCTCTCTGAGGGGGTAGCGGGGGGGAGGAAGAGAGAAAAAAAGCCGGGCGCCCCCTGCTCCCTCCCTCCCTCCCTCCTCCTCTCCCTCTCCTTCCCCCTTCCTCACCCGCCCGCCCACTGCCCCCGCCGCCCAAGACGCCGCTCGGGAGTCGGCGGGCCCCGGGTCTGTCTCCTCCGCCGCCGCCGCCGCCGCCGCGCTTCGCCTCGGAGCCGCAGGCGGGCGGACGCCCTTTCTTTCTTTCTCTCTCGCTCTGCCTGCCTCCCCGTCTCAGTCCCTCGCGGCCGCCCCGCCCGGCGGCCTCGGCCTTCCCCACGCGTCAGGCCCGCCCGCCCGCCCGCCGGCCTCGCTCGGTCTCCGTCTCCGTCTCCGTGGGGCCTTTCTCTGTCTTCGGGGGCTCGCTCGGCCCCTCCGCCCTCACCGCCTCCCCTGCCCCTCGCTCCCTCTCCTTCCTCCCCTCCTCCCCACCCCTCCTCCGGCCCGGGAGCTCGCTGTGCGTGTGCGTGTGTCCCTCCGCCGACGCCGCCACCTCAGCCCGGCAAATGAACTCCGTCCGAGCCGCCAACCGGAGACCCAGGCGAGTGTCGCGGCCGCGCCCGGTGCAGCCCCAGCAGCAGCAGCAGCCCCCGCAGCAGCCGCCGCCGCCGCAGCCGCCCCAGCAGCAGCCGCCGCCGCAGCAGCAGCCCCCGCCGCCGCCGCAGCAGCAGCCTCCACCGCCGCCGCCGCCGCCGCCGCCCCAGGAGCGGAACAACGCCGGCGAGAGGGGTAAGGCCGCCCGGCGCCCGGCCGTTGGGGACCCGCGGGGAGGGAGGCCGGGCGGGCGGGCTGGGCCGGCCAGGGGACGGACGCCCCGGGGTGGGACACGGAGGCCGGCTGGAGGCGGCTCCCCGGTGCCTGCCGCAGTGTCCGCCGCCCCGGGCCCGGCCGGCAGGAAAAGCCGCGGCTTCCCCGCTCGCCCGGGCTCTCGCTCAGGCCGCGCTTTGTTTGGTTTCGGGGCTCGGCACCCTCTCCCCCCCACTCTCCCCTGTGGCTCCCAGGCTGCCTCACGGACCCCCGGAGTCTGTTGGAGGTGGTGGGGGGGAGACGAAGGTGGAGATTTCCCCCCCCTTTTCTTGCCGCTGTCCCCGCTTCGGTCTCCCCCTTCTCTGAGGGGCGGCGGGGGGAAGCGCTGGGAGTGCTCGGGCGGCGGGGTTGGCCGGGGAACTTGTTTTCCCCCTTTTCTCCGCTAGCCTCCCCCTTCCTGTGGAGGAGGGGAGAGGGGGGATCCGAGTGGTCCGTGGTGTGGGCCGGGGAACTTGTTTCCCCCGCCTTCCCCCCTCCCCCCGCCCTAGTCACGGGGTAGGGGGAGCAGCGACTCCTCTCCCAACCCCACAATGTTTGCTGCGCAGTTTGGCTTTAGTTACAGAACCCCTTGGCAGGGCCCGTTAAATGAAGACCTTTAAATAAATAAATATAGAACCCATCGGCCATTTCCAGCCCCCTCCCTCGCGTGCAGTGCAGTTACCCTTAACGTTCTGCCGACACCCCTCTCGCCGGCTCTCCCTTAGTGAACCCCACGCCGCCGCGCTGCCCTCCACCTCCAGGCGGGGTTTGAACGCCCCTTCCATGGAACCGGCCGTGTGTGTGTGTGTGTGTGTGTGTGTGTGTGTGTGTGTGTGTGTGTGTGTGTGTGTGGTGTCCAAGGCCTAGTGAAATGTGTCATTTGGACCCAACTGTGTAGCTCTGTCTGGTAACCACCATTGTCTAAGGGCTGAGGCTCCCGGGGGTTGGATTCTCGCTTTTAGCAAAAATAATGTTCAGTTCCACTTTGACGATGTGGTTATTTTGGGAGGTTTACGAGGTTGGGTGTTGCACCTTGGTCTCTAAACGTAACTATTCTCTTTTATTAATTAGCTGCTCTCAGTGGGGTGGAGGTCAGTTACCGTATTTATGTGCCCGGTTGTTGTTTTTAGGAGGAGAGAATTGTTAGGAGACATTTTGCATGTTTTCGTTGGCAGATTAAGGTTAATTTCACATGCGTTGGTTGTCACACCTCCTTAGATTAAGGAAATTGGGATTAAATGCTTTTAAAAAATTATACATTCTTTCCTTAACTGTTTCATTGTTGTACTTGATCGGAATAATTAACAAATGGAAGGGAGATTGTAATCTGAAAAATAGTTTAAAGGGTTTTCACTAGTCACTGTTACAGTCTTTTAGAAAGCAGTTTGCTGTATGTTGCTTGAAAGAATGTGATGTTTCAAGCCAGGTAGAGGTTTTGTGCAGCAAATACGTTTTAATTATTCTTTGATACATTTACCAGTTTTTTGTAAGTTAAAAATATTTGTAGTTTCATCATTTCCTTACTCATTTGCATATTAGGGTTCGCCTGTGTTCCATTCAAATAATATTCAAGTCTCCTTCTAGAATTGGCACTATCCATAATAGAATTGAGAAAACAATGACACTGGGTTGAAATCCTAGCATAATACTCTATTGCTAGATGAAAAACCTTTTCAGAATGTACCGATTTGTTAATAACATTAGCACTGATTCACCTTCTTTCTGCGAAACATAATTTAGTCCCATTATGTGTTTTTAAATGTTTGTCCTGAATCTCCTTTTCATAATTTGTAACGTCAAACTTAGCTGAGGTACTTTTCTCTTCGACACTTTTCATTTGTTGAAATTATTAGCTACTAAAATCTGTTTCCTTTTGAAGTTGACTGGGTTGTTGATAGTCACATGCCAGAGTGTCAGTTTTCATTAATGTCCATAAGCTAAGATATTCATGAATCAAAACTTTAGTATGTATCTAACCAAATGATAAATCAAATTCACTGTAGAATTGTTGCTTTGCTGCAGCTAGTAGAAATTGTTCTGGAGATTCTATGTTGGCACAGAAGGGAAAAGAACTTGCTGATTAGTCTTCAGGGAAAATGCTATGGATCTTTTAGAGGGCAAATAAATGCCCTTAAAATGAAGAAAATAAAGGTGAATTAAAAGACTAAAAATAATATTCTGCTAACTTTATGTAAAAATGTATTTCTTTGAAAAATGGTGTTTTGTTTACATTTTTTTATAATTTTTTATTAAATTATTACCTATGTACATATACCATTGCCCCCCCCATTTGCCCTCCCTCCCCAGAGTTTTGTGTCCATTGGTTGTACTTATATGCATTGTTTACATTTTTTTAATGTACAGTTCACATAATGATCAGAAGTTAACAAGAATACTTTTTATTTTTAAAAGTTTTATGGAGCATGCAAAGTGTCACTATTCCTCATTTGGATAGGAGGCTTTGTTGTTTGAGAATGTGCTGGGTTTTATAATTTTGACAAGGCAATTAAGGAACTACAGCTAACATGGTGTGTGTGTGTGTGTGTGTGTGTGTGTGTGTGTGTGTGTGTTTACTAGCTCTTAATGGATATGTAACTCTTGATTAAGAGCTTTGAATGGAGTTAATAGTGGATCAGACAACTTTTCAGGAAGGGAATTGAATAAGTGAGACTGTTTTAAGACAAGTTAATTCAATATATATAAAATCACTTATTTATTTTACATAAAGGATGAGCTTTTAACTAATGGTAATAAAAAGATAAAATACACTTTTCAAGCAAAAATCTGTCAGAACTGGTTTTTAGTTGCTCCTTTGCCCACAGGTTAATTGGCCTGAAAACTTTCTTGACATAGCCTTACACACGCACACGCACATGCACACATGTGTGCGCGCCAATGTTTGAAGAAGAAACAACCTCATAGAGTGAAAGCTTATGAGGACTTTTCAAAGCGTTCCATGGGAGAGAATTTCTTACAGTAATAGTCCACCAAATCATTGATTCTTTTAATTTTTTAATTCAAACTCCTGAATTTAGGACCTCACATACCATTTTAAGCTAATAGAAAATAATTTGTGTTCCACATAGGGACACTTTGATAATATATTCCAGAGTCAATGAAACTGAAAGTAGTATAGGGTTGAATATTTTATATTTTTCTTTTAAATTAAATCTAGAAAGATTTTAGTGTTTACAACTTATTCTGCTGAATTTCTCTTGATATCTATTTGGTTGGTAGTGATTTTCTAGAAGTATAAGGAAAGCTTACAAGTCTGCAGAAGTGCTATGTAATTTTTAGTTGTTAAAATTGATTACTCTGAATGAGTAATAAATGCATATACCTGCCCTCCACTACCAAATTCTGCTACCTGGAATTAATACTATTAGATTCTCATTTATTATGTTTTAATAAAAAAAAGAAATATGGCAACTGAAAATAATCTTGATATGGAAGTTTTTGAAAATGAATGTGATTTTTGTTCCAGTTATTGGAAAATTCATAAGATTGTTTTGAAGTGCTGAAATTTTAACTGTGATCATTTATAGTTCAAGAAACTTAATACATTACATAAATGGATTTTGCTATTAATGTCTAGTCTGAAATAAATGTAGAGAGTAAAAACTTAGTCTCTCAACCCATATGTATATGTAGGATAAAAAGGTCACCTATGACTCTGAAATTAAAGAGGTTGTGTGTTTTTTAACTGAATTTTTGGAAATAATTCAGTGTATAGTATTACATGAAATATTCCAGATTGAGCTACATATTTATAATATGCAGCAGCCAGGAAACTCCTTAGTGTACATGCTAATTATACTTTCTGTGGGATTGTTCTGGCCCATGATCATTTACCTTCAGATTTTCTTACTACTTGTAGAATAAGGAACTTCTGCAACCTTTCTCGATAGATTTCTGGGTAAGGAACATGATTTTTCCTGTTTAGGAATTAAGTATTATATGTTACTATTTTCCCATCTGGTAGTTAAACCTTCAAAATATTTACTTCCCATTTGAGGAAAGATGCTGCTTAATGGTGTGAGGTGTGTGTGTGTGTGTGTATGTAGCCTGTTTTCTCAAAACTTATAAGTTATTTGAGGAATACAAATGGGATAATGGCATTGCTGATGTCAAAGTTCTGCTGATTAGTCCTAAGGGTGTGCATGTACTGCTTTTGTCTTTACTGGAAATTCTGGCTAGCAACCTTAGAGATACCAGGTAAAACAAGAACCACTAATAGATCCTGACTTGTTAGTGAGGACCCTTGGACTTAGATTTGGCAGAATTCAAGGCTAGTGAGTATTTTCTTAGGTGGGTTTGTGTATTTTTTTTCTATTTGATTTAACTTTGAAAATTTATAAATGATCTATGGGTTATTTGAACTTGGGCTGTCTCATTGTTCCCTGTCTATTACTAAAAGAATTCTGTTATTGTCGAAACTTGTTTGGCTCAGTGGATAGAGCGGACTGAAAGGTCCCGGGTTCGATTCCGGTCAAGGGCATGTACCTTGGTTGCGGGGGTGTGCAAGAGGCAGCTGATCTATGATTCTCTCTCATCGATGTTTCTAACTCTCTATCCCTCTCTTTTCCTCTCTATAAAAAATTAATAAAATATATATTTTTAAAAAGGTTACTGTTATTTTGTGTCAGTCTTGTCCCATGGATCTCTGAAGGGTTATTCTGATTTAGATTTCTAATTTCACTAGTTAGCCCTTTGAATTGCATCCTTGCCTTCCAGAGAACTCTGGTTAATCTGAGATTACTAGCAAAATACTACCAAATTGTGATTGGTGCCTTCTGAAAATAAAGTTAAAAAGAAATAAAATATAAGGGACGAGATATTTGGGTGGTATTATGGGAAGAGCTCAGAATTAGACCTATCTAGACCTAGGTTCTAATTCTAGCTACACAGCTAACGAGCTGTTTGACATGGAGTAAACAATGTAT